TGTGTCGAATCAAAACAAAATTGTACGCTCCCAGGTGCCACTGGGAGAGGGGAGGAGGAAGAGGGCAGACCATAAATCTTACAAAAACATTAATAAAACGGCTCCTCTGTAGCTCCTCTGAACAGCAAACAAAAGAGGAAGGGCGATAGCGAGCAGTGTATACAGTCATAGAAGGCAGCTGGTGAGCAGGCGCACGTATCTGCTGTGTAAATGAGGAGTGGCGCAACGGGAAAATGGTGCTACGACCGTATGGGCCGTCACAACTCGATGAACTGTATAATGAAGATATTAGCTACACGCATTGTGGCTGCATAAATCGCAGTCGCTGCAAAGTCGCATACATCTTGATCGCTTTCTATACATAGAGCGTTTACCTTTTCAGTTATGGGTGGCTTAACAGAAATACGCTAATGAAAGTGGATACAATATTGCAGGCACGTAGGCAAGCAGAAGTCCCCCCCCCCCCCCCTAAGTTCGTCTACTCGGTCAATCATGCCAGAGTATAGAGGTACACATACAAGTAGTGGCGTGCGCATTTAAGCAAATGAAAAGCAAAAACGCTGTGCAAACTAACGAAGAACAGATATACCAAAAAATCTTTATTCTGAAAGCACAGCAACGCTCACCGAGAAAATCAGCGACCAGCACGTGAATGAACACCACAAAAAAAAAAACAATAATCACTCATACGTCTGAGGCACCAGCGAAAGCAAAAATAACTATTGTTAGAAAAATTATCCATTTTTTAAAATTTATATCGTGCTTTTAGGAAGAAAGCTTTGTAATAACAGATGGGGATCAACCTCTGAAACCGTCACAGCACCTGCAGACTTGAATGCCGAGAGAACGTATGACTTCGCAGACGGTTTGAAAACTGTCAGCCGTCTTTGTCCTACGGCATTGGAATGTTTTTTTTAACACTGATATAGACGATGACAACAGAGAACTTGCATACTTTATAACGTATAGATGCCGCCATTGAGCTACAAGTTTGAAGTTTCAGTAGTGAAGAACAGTAAAAGGCGCACGTTTCAGCCTAACTGGCTGCAGCAATATGGGTGGCTTGCATTTTCTCATGTGTGGAAGGGAGCTTTTTGCAAAACATGCGTACTTTTCTGTCGTATTAGCGGAGTGAGTAAAGGCTCTCACCAGTCATATAGGAACCTCCTAACAGCTCTGGTTACGATTTGGAAGGATATCATTGAGACAATCCAGAATCATGCAAGAACTGAGTACCGCAAGACAGCAACGGTTGACGCAGAAGAGGAAAATCAAGCAGTTTCCATGAACCGAAGCACTCAGCAAGCAAATGGCGAGCTCGAAGAAAACAAGGGGAAGTTGGTCACGGGTGTAGAGACAATTGTACTGTGCGGCCGTCGAGCCCTAGCGCTGAGAGGTGATTAAGATTCGGGGCGTCTTTCTCTCGACAAACCCTTACAAAACGACGGGAACTTTACGGTGCTCCTACGTTATGGAGCGAATGGAGGAGACACCATTTTGACCAATCACATACACACAGCAGGCAGCAATGCTCTCTACTTCAGCCAGCACATTCAAAATGAAAATATTTCGATAATTGGCAAGATGAAATTGTCAAACAGGTTAACGAGGCTGGACTTTTTTCAGTGGTGGCAGATGACGCAATAGATAAGTCCCGAACCGAGATACTCTCATTGCGCGTTCACTACGTCGATCCCACTACTTCGAGCATTGGGGAACATTTCCTTTGCTACACCACTTCTCTGTATATCTGCAGAGCATATCTATTCGCATGAGCATCGCCTTGGAGCAGGTTGGCTTGGTGCGGACTAAGCTGGAAGAGATGGGAACTAACGCGGGGACGAAATTCCACAAAATATTTTTTCTATGTCAAGACAGAGTGGCAGATTTCGGAGTGAAGTGTGAGATTCCATGGGTTGTAGGAACGCAGAGATACTGGGCAAACTTTGATTGTAGTTCATCGGAACAGTACTACAGGTGAGCCTTGTTCATTTCGTGCATAGATGACCTGAAAGCTTCCGGGGCAGGCAAAATGACACGCTACCCTTGACATATGCAATGTTGAGTAGAAAAAGAAAAAAAAAATAACAGCTTTCCGCAGCTCGTATCGAAGGCAACCTAGTCGCCTGGCGATCTGACAGCCGGCTACGCGCGGGCTCTGGGGAAAGCGAAAACGATGACAGGCACCTGACGTGCCAACGAGCTCGGCGATCAAGACACTGTCGAGTACAAGGAAAAGCTGTTTCCCCATTTCGCAGTGTACTGGACGTGCACAACGCCTATAACAGAATGCAGGGGAGTGCATCTTTTAAAAGTACGAAGAGAAACTGACGTGGAAGAACAGAAACACGAGGGCGCCTGTGGCGCCTGTTCGTTTATATTGGTCCCGTGACTGACGTCATGACACCTTGAGATGAAAAAAAAAAGTGGCGGGGGGGGGGGGGGCGGGGGGCAGGTTCTTCTTGTAAACGATAAGAAATCAAAGCGGGCAGAACAGAAGTTATCGATTCTTTTCGGTATTATTCTCCTCAAGTCATACACGCAGCTCCCTTAAGGACATATTTGCCGATATAATTTGTTGACGGGTCACGGCTTCGACGAATGACCACGCACAGATACTGAATGGAACTGCAAAATAATCCTTGTAGTCTTCAGAACGCATTTTTCCCCTTCCTTTTTGCTGGCGCTGTATCGTGTCTCTTTCTGGTTGTCAAGAAGCATGTCTTTGTCATGTTCTTTTTCTTGCTGATGAAATTTATGTGATGGCAGAAAAGGGCGTTCAAATGGTGAATTTTAGAATGGAATACGAATCGAATATCAATGACACCGAATCCAATACGAATCGAATACTATTCAAATAGCTTTAGAACAGTTACCCAATAAATTCAAAGCAGCACTATAATGTTAACTTAACAATTTTTGAAAAAGGCCAAGATCTGTATGATATTTTTTTTCAAAACAAGTATTTACAAGCTCAAGAAAGAACCAATACAATTTTTAACCTATAAAATTAATGGCACAACTATTTATGCTGAAACAAGTTCGTATATATATTAACAACCATAGCCTTAACTGCAGGTGGAAATACAGCGGTGAATGCCGTATTCAAGGTGTCACATTGTCAACAGTTTTTAAGTAAAGCGAAGTGTGCGTACGAGGTAGTTGCTATTCCATTGTGTAGAGTAAGTACATTTAAGTAAAACTGATGTAAAGATCAGTTTAAGTAAGTGCATAAGTTTCAGCAAAACGAACGAATGACTACTAAACAATATTGGGCAGTGTAGATTATCAGAAATATCATGATGACACAATGAAGATAGTGAATTGAGGACTGTGTCGCTTCCGGCTACACTGACTAATAATAATAATAATAATAATAATAATAATAATAATAATAATAATAATAATAATAATAATAATAATAATAATAATAATAATAATAATACGAAATCTTAGATAAAATTTATCGGTACACGTGAACACACTAAGTCTATTTTATATGTCTGAAGCTTTTAATGCGCAAGCATATATAGATACAAGGACAAATACCTGAAAACAAAACGCCTACGTGTTTTTTGTACTACAACCTTAAAGCTTCTTGTAATAGGCACAGCATACCTTACGAGAATGCTGTCGCTGATGGAGGTGCGCTCTTTTCGAGTGATGATTGTCGGTTTTGAAAATACCCTTTGAACGTGAAAACGGGCCCTTTGACGTTAAAACTACTCTTTCAAAGACAGAGATTATCAGACTATATCAAATTGCCGGAAATTTTACAGGCGAGTGCTTATCGGATTTTTTCGCATTTATGCGAAGACACTATTTTAGTGCGAGAATTAGATGATTAACAGCAAAAGAAACAAAAATGGAAGCCCTTGCTTTATCGGGAAAATGGCATGTGTGCGCATGCAGGCCTGACCTTTCTTTCTTTCTTTCTTTCTTTCTTTCTTTCTTTCTTTCTTTCTTTCTTTCTTTCTTTCTTTCTTTCTTTCTTTCTTTCTTTCTTTCTTTCTTTCTTTCTTTCTTTCTTTCTTTCTTTCTTTCTTTCTTTCTTTCTTTCTTTCTTTCTTTCTTTCTTTCTTTCTTTCTTTCTTTCTTTCTTTCTTTCTTTCTTTCTTTCTTTCTTTCTTTCTTTCTTTCTTTCTTTCTTTCTTTCTTTCTTTCTTTGCGCAACGCTCCTTGCAAATTCCTTCATTCCTCCATGCCAGGAATTGGACCTTCACCCAAGTGCTTAGCAGCGCAACACTTGTGTTCATACAAGCATCAATTATGATCATGCATGAAACAAAGTAATGCAACAATGACAGGCAGCAATGAAATACGGCAACGGGAAATAACAAGTGGTCTTCAGGAAAGATTGTATTGTCACATAAAAAACAGCTCATCATACCCAAGCCCACAATCGGGAGAGTGTCAATTACTGCAAAACGGCTATACAAATGTTAGCCACGCGACCGACACACCGTCGAGGGCCCAATTTGTGTACAACCTTGCTGCGGTTCATTTTTCTGAGTAAACAGCGCGAAAAACGAAGACCGAAAAGTAGGAAGACACAGGACAACCGATGACTTTCAACTGAAAATTTTATCGAAGAAACATCGCATATGTACAACTATTCGCGCATGCTCTTACACGGCGAGAAAACTAAATAAACAAAAGTAAATGCTGTAGACACGAGGCAACTTGCGCTCACAACATGAGTGGCAATAATCTAAAAATGATAACTCTTTATAAAGGAGAACGATTGATGGTTCACTGACGCAGTTTTTGCCTGCCTTTCGAAGTCTGTAGGCGTCGAAAATTTCCCTCGTCCGTTGGTCGCGGTGTACGCCCCTTGCTGCGGTATGCCACTGCCACCGAATTCTGTAGCTCGTAGAGGCTTCGCCTAAACAGCACTCGAAACGATAGAACTCGCTATTGTGCAAAGCACGAACGGGTGAGCGAAAGTGCCCATTGAAAGAACTGCTGGCGTGTAACAGTCGTGTTTTCTTGCGCCGCAGTGGTCGACTCCTCTGGCAAGATTCCGAATGGCGTGATGGCCGGCACGGCGGCCTCGTTCGGACACTTCGACCAGTGCCTAGCGATCGAGGTGGAGGGAGACGCCTTCCGCGGGAAGTTCTGCACACTCGAGCTCTGGCTCAGGGACTTCCCAAGACCCAGCCGCAACGCTGCCGACATCATCGAGGACAGCGAGTCGGTAAGGCAACAGATCTACTTTGTTCAGCGACGCAACGCGTATAAAATGAAGCCAAGTATCGTTACTCACTTTCCGCAACATTTGACATGCACGTTGCAGATACGCGTGCCAGTGAAATTTATTTTCGTTGTTGAAAATGACTTCTTTATGTACTCTTAGGAATTATAAGGAGGTCCACAACAAACGTGCCCTTCGTGATTAAAAATAAAAACGAACCACTAATGGTTCGTTTTTTCTAGTAGCTAGGTCTTTCCTAGGTCTAGTGGCTAAGGTACTCGGCTGCTGACCGGCAGGTCGCGGGTTCGAATACCGGCTGCGGCGGCTGCATTTCCGATGGAGGCGGAAATGTTGTAGGCCCGTGTGCTCAGATTTGGGTGCACGTTAAAGAACCCCAGGTGGTCGAAATTTCCGGAGCCCTCCACTACGGCGTCTCTCATAATCATATGGTGGTTTTGGGACGTTAAACCTCGCAAATCAAACCACAAATCAGAGCGAAACATAAGACAGGGGTTCTCAAGCATTATGGCCTTGAGGCACCCCCGATGGTTGTGTATAGTGCTGCGGCATTCTCGGCCTCTGTATGTTTACGCTCAAATATATTTACCATAAGGACAATCGGAACGCGAGGAGGGGGGCGGGGTGCTGTTAGATTTGCGCAACCATGCATGGTATCAATGCGAATGCATTGGTGTTCGTTTTTTTTTTATTTTCGAAGGGCACCTTTGTTTGTTGTGGACCTCCTGATAATTCCTAAACTTCCGATCACCCCCTCCGCTCCTCCCGGCCTTTGTTTCCGCGTATAAACGCACGTTGCTACGCGAGCAGCACAGCCCCCGCCCACCATACACTGTATGCTCTAGGCACCGAGCGCCGTGAACACTGTGTTCACACGAAGGCAGTGCCGGTTCCAAAGGAGCCTGTCTTATTTCTCGCACATGAATTAAAAAAGAAAGCGAGAAATGTGCCAGTCACATTGTGAAATGGCCATCGGAACCGGTCGTAAGGCCAAGCCTGAAATGCCGGTGTATCCCGCAGCCGGCATGAAGCAATGCTTCTAGCTCAGTGCAGGGTAGATACTTTGAAATTGCATCGTGATACGGCACAATATACTTGGGCACGAAATATTGCAGATAAAGCAACAAGATGCTATAACGAATAAATAAATCGAATATGATAGTTCCCAGCCGTATCTTAAGATGCTTCGATGCGTCTGTAAATTTGTTAGCATAGATCTATATAGTAGTTCAGCAAACGCCTTTGTACCAAAATGTCTGCTTGAAAATTTGTTACTGTCAGCTATTTTGTTTATTTTAAAGAAAAAGACCGCCAGGCCTGCGCTAAACGCATAGAACACACAGAAAAAGCTGGAAGAGTGACCTTAGAGCCGTTTTTAAACACTTTTCGGGCAATTGCTGCAAGCACACTTTCAGGGTACCGTACCACTAAGCCATAAATCATCATAACTTTTTTGTAGTTAGCCGGCATTCCCTATCTTTCGTCATTCTTCGGAGAAGCATGGTGTCCGTTACACACAAAGAATTTCGTGCAAACATTTTATGCAGTGGCTGACGACGACGAAGTATTATGTCTGAAGCATGCGTCACAGTTCATATAGGTGAACAAGAACAAGCTTTTGTGGTGGTTGGAACATTGTGCGACCCACTCGTTACGCAATTCACATCGTGTCACGCCTGTTTGTTCCTTTCGCTGTTCTAAACCGCTTTATTACTGATACTAACGCGATTTCTTTCCCGACATCAATCCTGCCTAAGGCGAATTTGAAACGGAGTGGCAAGCACCAGCGTAGCTTAGTGGTCTTAGGTTCGTCGAATCTCGAAGTCTCAGGTTTGCGCAGAGGTCTCAGGTTCGTCGAATGCTGTTGTTTCGTTAGCGTTTTTATTTAGTAAGTTTGTTTTCTTATTTCGTGTGATAGTTGTTACGGACACTGGCGGTGGTCAACTACGGCGCCCACAACACTTGTTGTGATCTCATAACAGCTTTCTCTGTGATAACTGTTAGTATACCAACTGTTCATTGTTTATTTTCGAAAGTGCAACGCTTTTACTCCGAAACAACTTATTAGGATTGGTTTGGCTGCTAAACATTACCGATCTTGACACATTGCGCCGTCAGTGGTTTTTGCGGGGCACTTTAGTAGTTGATGGGCGCCACTGCCCTACTTGCTTACCAGGGGACGAGTTGCCAACTATTTACGAAAACGTCCATAAGAAGCCTTCGGGCAATGGTGTAAATATCGCTGTGCAGTCTTACCTTGCCCAGAAAGAAATTGCTCTTTTAGCAACACCGGATCACGAGTCGGCTGCATATCAGCAAGAACGCTGGGAGCAATATTTTTATTATACAACAAAAGCTGGTATGAGATAACAACGGCGCCGCCCTTCCACGCCACCGCCGGTGTCTGTCACCGCTATCACGCGAAATAAAAAGCCCTAAATAAGAAAATATACTCGGGATGAAACGGGGTTCGAACCTGGGTCCCCTTCGTGGCAACCTAGCATTCTATCTCAGAGCCATGCCGTTTCTTTCTTTTTTATCACGGTATTTATTAAAATGCGTATTCTGAAATTTAACAAATGCTGTGACGTAGTGATGCATTCACTCAACGACAATAATCGCACTGCGCAAGCATTCAAAAGCTTACGATAACATATACAATGTGCAAGTCCAAAAAATTGAAAAATTTCTTCAAAACCTGTCGCAGAAAGAGTTTCGTAAAGATGGGCACCAAATCAATACGAGGTGCCAGTGTCGTCTGAAGTAAAGCTCTTTGTGAATGTCCTTTAGATATAGAGGCATACACATAGAATGCACGTGCAGTCCCACAATGAGAAACTTATCAAAGGACTCTCCAAGAGATGTTGGGTGAAGGTAATGTACAGTATGTGAATTGATGTTGAAATCATTTCAGTGGTTCGCTGAAGGATGTGCGAAAACAGAATGACATCTTTGCAGCTAATCAAACAGTGTTCTGTTCCATCTGGTACGTCGCAGAGACGGCAGCTAACTGAAGAAACAAAAAGATCTTTCTTTCGCAACCATGACTTTACCGGCATGCAGTATGGTAGTACGGAGTTTATCAAACAAGGCTCTTGTACTAGGAGAAATATACATTTTCCGAACGTTTTAGTGCATCATGCTCTGAAAAGTCGGAATATAATGAGCAGTAAAGTGGAGCTTGAAAAGCATAGATAACAAATCCTTACAAAGTTTGTTGCCTTGTACTGTGTATAAGTATTTTTCAGAAAATCAAACTTTAAGAAACCGTACAGCGATCGAAGCTTCCTGCATAAATCCCCACAAACACAGAAATCTCATGAAACAATCGTCAGGTAAAACATTAACAAATGTAATCTACAAGAATGATTGAAATATGACATGGAAATTGTCGGGGGAAAAAAAGAACGGTGACACTATTTGCCATAGATATAAGTGAACTGTTCCCAGCCCTCGCTACTTCACTAACCTGATTAGGTTGTCCCGTCTCATTGGTTGAAAAGCCGAACACCACACGGATGTTGGGAAAGTCCGATTAAAGCGCCATATGCGAGATCGAGTGCACAGAATAACTTGCAATAAATAGTAAACCTTGGCAGCTAGAAAAGTGTTGCCAGATTTAGCTCTCCCAAAGGTTGAACGGTGATTTCATAAAATGAAAAATATATATAATATGCAAGCTTTCTTGTCTAAATTGGTAAATTAGGTGTAAATGGTCATAAAAAAAAGAGCGGGCTGCATTAGTTGTGACGCTGGTTGTGATGACCGCTTGCAGAGCGCTCAAATGGCCTTCAAGGAATACCTGCGTTACGAAGGACCCAGTTTGGGAACTTCAGCAAAAGCATTCTCTGTATCTTGCCGATTTCCACTTAGCAGATTTTCCGTAAAGGGGAGTATTCAGTTATGAATCGCGAAAGTACTGCTTAAAACATTTGCTTTTTCATATTAACTGTACACATGGTCAAACAGATGAGTTGAGAAGTTGCGATAGCTTCTTCGAACAATATATTATAACCTAAATGAGAGTTATGTTCAGAGGGATCATTACATCATTGGAGGAATAATAGTGCACGCTGTCGGTTGGTCGGTCAACGAGCTTTATTCACAAATTGACCTGAGGTGCCAATGCCCTCAAGAGCGCGGGTCTTTTCACCCACGTTGGGACCGGTAGGACATGCCCCTCCCCCGAAACGTGGGTACTGTGGGCAGCTCGCATTTGGACCTCCTTGTCCTAGTTGGTCATCGCCGTCCTCCAGGCGTCCTCTGTGCTGAGAGGCTCGTCATGGCACAGCCCCGTGCATTACCACAGCATGGAAGGCTAATAACTTTTTCTTGGCATGTAACCACTGGGGCTTTACGATACTTCTGTTGGAAAGAGATTCTTATAAATGTTTAAACGAAACAAAACAACAGAGTGCAAAAAAAAAGCACTTGTTGCAGTCACGTAGAAACAAGGAAACGACCCTGTCACGTTGCCGCATAAGTGAACCGACAAGAATGCCTGTCTCATGCTGTTCCACAGGTTTTGACCTTCTTCTACGACAATGGCTATTGGCTCCAGCTCTTTCCCTCAAGGATTGGTATCTGCATACCATCTACGTGCAGTGGCGAAGACCTTCAAAAGATTGCTGGCAAAGGTAAGCGGAAGCTTGACAAAGCAAAGAAAGGCAACAACGTGTCGGTTCAACAAAACCTTACTTGCATTTTGTTTTCCTCCTATGTCCTTCATTACCAATTTTCAAGCTTATTTTCAGCTTTAAATTATTGCACTACAACATTTCAACACCTGCGGGGTAAATTGTTTTCTTCAACACAGAAAGCACGAATCTCGTCGAAAGATCTAGGCGCTGGAGAACAGTACGACTCGGAGAGCGTCTACTTGGTTTAATGTGTGCTGTGGTATTGCCTGTGCGAATTCCCTTTAGGCGTCTTCTCCTAACCAGTTATCCATATATGCATTTTCTTTGTTATGCTGTACTTTGCTGTATTAATCTACTCATGTTTGACTCGCTTATTATAATCGCATCAATATTTTTCTGTGCGCTGCTTTAGGCTTGCTCGTGCGCGCTATGCTTAGCCTGCACTGGACAGTTGCGATCCTAACCCTAGTCAATCGTTCTAGGCAATCCCGGTTCCAAATTTACTATGATTAGTCAAGGAAGCTAGTCACTGGCTAACTACGGCTTGGTAAATTATTTAGTATAGGATACATTTCACGTATTTCACTTTTCAGTTTGTGATAGTGACAGTTAGGTCGAATGCCCTTCTACTGTCAAAATTTTGTGGCTAATGGGATACAAAAGCATTCGTGACAGTAGTGCTATAATTGGCGATTGCGTGCACTATATTGAAAAAGGCTGTAGTACTTACTACTTGTCACATATGTCACTAACCAGTTAGCAAGTGAAATCAATAAGGGGGAGGTTAGTAACCATTGCTACCTTTAGTGTTACTAACCCAGTTAGTAAAGGTTACTAACGTAGACAGTAACGGTTACAGTAAAAAAATCGTGGACGATCCTCCGAAGGGAACCCCGACGAGATGCGAAGCAGCAGCGGTGCGCACGGCGTTGAACCGGTTGAAACGGGCGTCAACGTGGGTGCTGGAAGAATGGTTTCAAGCGAAACTTGGTGTAGCGTTTACTCGAGTAAACGTTTGTTTGAGACGCAAAGACGTGGGAGGCGGGTTGGTTTTGTGCAAGTTTCATCGCAGACAAACGGGCTGAAAGAGTTCACAGATTTAGTCACGCGTCCGCAAGAGCCACGCGGACGCAGCCTGCCTGCCATTTGCAATGGCAGGCGGCGTCCGTACGGCTACTCTGGAGGCGTGACTGAATCTAGTGTTGCCACTCGACGTGTGGTCGAGCGTTGCGTGCGGTGGAGAGCGTGAAACTAGAAAGAAGTGTGGTGCGAGGTGGCGGAGGAGCCAAAAGCTGCTGCGTGTGAGGAAGAGTGAAGTCAACGCGACTTGACCGACTAGACGTTGTTCCGGCAACTGCGGTGAGGGGAGCGCGGCGCGGCGCGTTGACACGGAGACACGGACGGACAACGTTACACAGGCTAGTCAAAGAGCTGCTTCGCGTCTAAAAAATGTACTAGATGTGATAATTTCGCTTCACGAATCACCCGTTTTATATCGGTGCTATTCGCGAGCATGAACACTTAAATATATCACTGAGTAATTATGCACACAATGTCATAAATGAGAACGGCACACATACACAAGCTCAAGCGAGACGTAGTTCCTAAGCGGTTCCAGGAGTATGTACAGCTCTAACTCTGGGGAATGCAGCTCCGGTAGATGGCTATGCTGTAGGATGGATCATTTAAGTTAGGCGCTTTTATTTATACAACTTACAGTTTTCTTAAGTGCGCGAGGTAACGTAGCATAGGTCATTCTTTCAAACATTTTAAGAAAAACAATGAGTTATGTCTCTTTTGCATAACACCGTCTCAACAAGGCCTAATATACAAGACGTAAGACTGGGTACGAAGCTCACATATATTGCGTCAATGAACTTGTATGCATCCCCGTTTTGGTTGTTAGGTTGATAGACGCTCGTAATTATAATCTCTAAGGTTTGTTCAACAAGTTTATTAAACAGGTGCATGACGAAAAGTTAATAACGGTGTGCAAAAGGTAGTAACCGTTGCAACCTTAAAGCGTGTGCTTACGCAGGCAGGAAAAAAGTCGTAAAGAGTAAGTAATGGCCCATAAAAGTTACTGAAAGCTGCTGTTACTAACTTTTTGCTCATGGTTACAAGATTTTAACTTTTTTAAGGAGGTTCTGAACGTAGATGAAATGTGCAAAACAAACACCAATGAGTCGCATAACTTTTCAGTTTTGACAATAACGACTCGACTCAATCAGTAAACTTTCTCATAATTGCTTTAAACGACAAAGAGATAGCTATGCTGCAAAGGAGAGTAACATAAGAGCTCTGAGTGTAAACGCAACTCTGTTTCAACGGGAGAATGTATAGTGGAAGAGAGGACGAGGAAAATTGGGCAAAGATACGAAGTCCAAAGGAAAATGGCAGGTTGTACTATGCACGCGAAAAAAAAGCACTATTTCCCGGCAGGCAACAAGACCGACGGCCAGCGTGACTTATAATGCTGTGATCACGCCAAAAGATGTGCTATGTTATACCTGTGTTCATGCCCAGGCAGGGAATAAGCTTTTGCACGTTTTTTTTACACACACCTCTTGACGCATATTTCCGTTCCGATGATTTGTGAAAAAGAGTGGAGAATGAGCTTTAAGGGAAAAATAAAGACCGAAAAGTCCCAGCCTGCATTTCGTACTATTTTTTTCATTCTATAGTGTGACGCCCTCTGCAAACACAGGATGTCAGTTCGGGTGAATTAGACGCTTTGGTACTCTATTTAAGTTACCCCAAGCCCTTTGGGCAGCTTCATGCCTTCCAAGATACACTAAGCGATGGCGCATGGAGCAAATTACCCGGAAAACCGGCCCTTTGAAGACGCTTAGGGACCTATGACTCGTGAGTTGGTGTTTACGGTGTGATGTCAAGACCGCCACAAACGAGCCGCTTGACAAGCAGTCGCAGTGCATCGCCTGACTAACTATAGCTTAGAATACGCGGAGCGCTGTTGGCGGGGGGGGGGGGGGGGGCAGACATTGGGAACACACTCGAAGGCTTCAATCCCTTTCATAAACACAAGAAAAATAAATAAATGACTAAATAAAATAACCTCAACAACGTTCACGTTCTCAACAACTATCTAAGAAACAAATTAAATCGATTCGTCTTCTATATAGTGTAAAGAACTGAAACTGTAAATGGCTTCCGACCAGCAAGAAACTTAGTCACTGAATGCTTGGCTGATAACAAGCTGCGGTCTTTATACTTAGAATTGATTTGTTTGTTGACAATGTGTGCTGGCGATATGCCAGAATCCGAGCTCTTATTCCGCTTGTAAAAAAGACCTCCGCCTACACACTGTAATTGTATGGCCGCGCACACCGAGTGAAAGGACTACACGAAACAGACATACAGAAGTGCTGTGTACTTTTTTGTTTCGGGTCGTCCGTTAAAACTGTGTGCGCTGCCATACGCTAATATGATAAAACAACTAGCCCACCAGTATTAAATGCGGCGCATTTCTTAATCGCCCGATTCCGCGCTTCGGCGTCGGTGGTGGAGGCATCCACACCCCCACTGCGCATGCTCGCGTCTCGTGCCGGCCCAGGAAGACACCCGCAAAAGTATCTCTCTCCTCCCCCTCTTTCACCTCGCAAGGCCGACGCATGCGCTTGCTCGCAAAAAAAAAAGGCCCCGTATCTGCATGTTAATCTGCAAATTTTGTGGAGAGACGATAGTCTTGCGTGTGGAGAAAGTGAACAAAACATTTATTTGATGTTCTGCGCAAGAAAATTGGTGAATGGTATTCTGGTGACGCTGCGTTAGAGTGCCTCGAGCGTGCAGCGGAGGCGAACGAGCGCATGAAGTCGCGTCACACGTGAAACATGAGCGCCATCTGGCAGTTTCTTTGGAAAACGAATCGCGTGGCTCTGAGACGGGTGTGCGCGCCCGTCTAAGAGGTGATAAGGTGTAGAGCGCAAGGCGACGGGTAGGTGTCATCACCATTTCGTCTTAGCAAAGCGTTGGAATAACTCGCCTTTTCGTGCAAGCGCTGCATGGTCAGCGCAGCGTGATAAACGCTACGGTCCTTAAAATAACTTATGTATGCCTTTTCTAGTAAGAGACGCACATGCAGATTATATACGTGTTGTCATAGTGCCCCAGATATTCGCAATAATTGCTTTTTAATTGACAATTGCACAAGTATGAACGCTAAATCTTGAGGAACATTGGTGGGCGCTGCGGATGGGGTCAGCCGTTCCATGTACCCGGTGTCGTTAAGAGTAGACAAACAGACAAATGTACATACAGACAGACAAACAGACTAAAATTTTTGCATCGAAGGTCTCCAATAAAGACTATCGTCTTTAACACGACTGCTCGCGCTGCACAATCGTTCACTTGCCACCCCGTATATGTATGCACTGGATCGCGCGTTCGGGATTCAGTCAAGGGCGTCTTGGCTTTCGTTTGACGTGGAAGGCAACACTTCGCCTTCATTCAATGAATAAAAAGAATAAAGACGAAAAACAACAATTAAGCATTTCAAATATCATACCCGATTACGCAACATTTACGCGATGCTCTCTACCCCCCCCCCCCCCCCCTTTGCGACGCATTTATTCGAGTTTCTCCGTGGGAAGATGCGGGCGGCATTTTAAAAGACGATAGTCTTAAGAACCTTCGACGGAAAAATTTTTGTCTGTCTGTACATTTGTCTGTTTGTCTGCCCTTATCGATACCTCAAACGGCCTCATATGGCCAACACATCCGCAGCGCCCACCAATATTGTTCAAGGCTTAGCATTCATACTTGTGCGATTTTCAATTAACAAGCAATTATTGCGCATATGTGAGGCGTCATAACAACATATCGATGTTTTGTATGTCTGCCTTTATACTAGAAGAGGCACACACAAGTAACTCCAAGGACTTTAGCGTTTATTCGCGCTCCGCTGACAGTGCAACGCGATGCTCAAAAAGGTAAGTGTTTCCAACGCTTTGTTACGACGACACGGTGGTGGCACTTGC